CTGGGTTGCTGGCCAGGGGAGCAGCGCGCAGGGTGGGGTCCTGCCCGCACGGGGAGGAGAGGGTGCGCTGGGCTCCCACACAAAGAGCCGGCAGGCCCAGCGGCCGGATCCCTACCGTCCTCCCTCTAGCGGTTAGCTGGGCCCTTTGGAAAACAGCCTGTCCGGCTCTTGGCCACCGTCCCCGCTGCTGCTGCATCTGCCCTGAGACATCTCCCCACCCCACCCTTTCCAGCTGCCTTTTGTTTTCATCTGCTGCATGGGGAGTCCCAGAGTCTCTGAACCCTTTCCATTGCTCTTTTTTTACCTGGCGTGCTTTTCCTTGTGGTCCACGCATCCATGCAGCCGCTGGCTTTCCTTGTAGGGGCTCTCTGGTTGCTCAGTGTGAGTGGCATGGATCCGGTGCAGCTCCATCTGATCCGATCAGCGCATCGTGCTGCTGCTCTGGTGTGCTGGCTCCTTGCAGGGCAGCTGTGCCTGGAGTTAGCACCGCTACCAGCCCTTGTGCACGAAGGGTGATGGCAGTCTCAGAGACCTTTATGCACAGCTGATGATCCCTTTTTCTATCTCTGCTGAGAGTCTCCTTGTCCATGGGTGGTTTGGGGGCTGAGGGGGAGCACTTGCTTTGCTGCTTCTGCCAGACAGGCTGGGATGAGGCTATTTTAGGAACTTGGTACTAATTTTAGCTAGAGGGAAAGACGGGGGCTTGGATCCAAGTGAATATTTCCTGACAGTGCAAGAGGCAGGAAAAGTGCAGGGTGGTTATCCAAACCTTCCCTGGGGGAAATCTCAGCCCTGGGAGTGTTAGAGGAAGTCGGCATCAGCCCCCCTGCTCGGGAACACCCACTCTCCTCTTCTCCTCACTGCTGTTTGACAGCTGCCTGTGGCTAGTTCCCTCTGTCCAGATCTATTTGCCTGGTCTTGCCTTGAGATCTTCAAGCTTAGAGTGTTATGACTTTTCCCTAGGCAATGCTGGCCACTTCCAGCATTTCTTCTCCCCTGTGCTCCCAGGCAGTGGCTGCCAGAGCGGGGATGTGGCCCTCAGGGAGTGGGATGTGTCCTGGGAAGACAAGTCACCAGGAAGGTGCGGGGAGCAGGGCCGGGCATGTGCCTGGGGCTTGCTGGAGGGAGGGGAGCTGAGCCGAGTGCGAGACAAGAGCTGGTGAGACAGTTGCAAGAGCAGGAGCCGTTGGGCTTGTCCTGGGGCTTGTGGGACGGGCTCTGCAGCTTTTGGCACCCCAGGGTGCTCTCTGCCCTGTCTGCTGCCTTGGCTGCGGCTTTTTCAGGGCTCCTCTGTCTTCCTTGCCCCGGCTGCATCCCTGTCTCTGTTCCCAGTGCCTCCCTGGCAACAGACATCTCCCCCTGCCCTAATGATGATCTGTGGGGTCCATCCCCCCCTTTATCATGGTTTCCCCAGTTCTCGAAGGTGGGCAGGGCACAGCTCTGTGTTTCATCAGTGATGCTGGGAAGTGCTCAAGACCTGTGTAAACGGGCTGTGCCTCCAGCACCTGGGTTGGCATCTGCTCCTGCCTCCACGCAGATGTGGTCCCCTCACCAGCAAGCGGCAGACCTGCCTCTGCATTTGCACTGGGCGTTATGGTTTGGGCAGCAGCTGTCAGCTCCTTTCCAAGCCCATGTTTCATGATCCTTCTGTCCAGACCCACAGTGGGTCATCCCTCACCTCTGTTAGATCAGACCTCTCCTGTGATGGCTGATGGTTTGGCAGTTGATTCAAGTACACAGGCTGAGGCCTGACCCCTGTCCTGGTCTCCTCACCTCCCTGGATTGGCTCCAGGCTGACCCACAGCCTGTTTTGTCTGGGGCAGATCAAGGAGCTGGGCGCTGTGGTCCCTCCCTGACACTGGGAGAGAGCCAGCCCCGCTGCTTGCCCATGCCGTGCAGGGGACAGATGTGGTGCAGACGTGAAAAGCAAATTTGAAACTCCTTAGAGATGGAAATTGATATTCCCTTGCTCGAGAGCTCTAGTCTTTCCCAGGGGACTCGCTCCCTAGCCAAGGGGGTGGCTCTTTTCTGGGCCCTGTCACCTCTGCTTTGGGGGTCCCTGAATGTCTCTTGCAAGGAAGAGGCTTTCTCTTGCTTTCCTGCCTGGCACTATTGGAATTAGCCCTGCTCAATGCAGCTTGAAAGCGGGGAGAGCGCAAACCTGGGCAGGGAGTGATGTTGGGGAAACCACTTTCCATTCAGTTCATTTGAGCTATCCTCTGTTTCATCCCACTGGTGAGCCCATTCTCCCGGGAGAGGCTCCACCTCATTCCTTGAGCCTGAAATTGGTGGTTTATCTTAGAGCCAGAGGCACAGATGTAGGTGTGCCTGGGCTGCCCCAAAGCGTGGCTAGTATAAATAGTTCTCAGGGTTTGACCATTATTGAATTTATGCTCTGGGGAAACTGCTGAGCTATATCCAGGCCACTTAGCTGGGCACAAGCTGAAAGTTTGCAAAGTACTTGTAGAAACTAGAAAAAAAAAAAATGTTTTGGAGTCTATTTCAAAGCCAGCCTCAGCCCTGAGCTCTGTTACCCCCAGCTCCCATCATGCGCTGGGAAGGTAAAAGTCCTGCTGGGTCCCACAGTTGAAAGGCAGAGGTGTAGAGGCTAGTAAAATCAAGAAAAGGAATGACTGTTGTCATTGTGATGTAAGAAGAACTAGGGGAATCCACTCCTTGCCACAGGACATGTGCTAAAGGTTACCTGAGTGTAAAAATTGTGCAGTGTGGTTGTGCAGATGATGTCAGAGTCTCCAAGCAGGACTGTCAGCCACCCAGACTTCACTGCTGGGTCAGGAATTCCTGAGCCACAAATAGCCAGCGTCTGGGAAGGCACTGAGGGGGAATGTTGCTACATGCTTGGCCTGTTCCATGCCCGCTCCTGGGCATCTGCTGTTGTCCACCGTCAGAGATGAGATCCTGGGCCAGGCAGGCTTTTGGCCAGCTTATTTGGCCAATCTTGTAAATGTCTTCCTAGTGCCTTGGCCATTTCATTCTCTGTCTCTCGTCCCTCCAGCTGGTGTCTGCAGAGGGTTCCCATTCAGATGCTGGCTCGGTCTGTGCCGATAACCAAACAGAGCTGCCACCCTCCATGGAGCGCACAGGAGGAATTGGAGACTCCAGGCCGCCCTCTTTCCAGTAAGTTACCTGGACATCTATCCTGGTTTTTGAGGGACCCACAGTGATTTTGCTGTAAATCCAGACCAGGGGCTGGGGCACTCCTACCCAAATTGGCAGGGATCACAGCCAGCCAGAGGGGAGGAGGATGGGGCTGGGAACAGATTCGAAGTGGAGCTGCATTATTCAACAAGCAAGGGCATGCTGAAAATAGTGCAGGGAAGTTGGCAAAGAGCTGGCACAGCTTCCCCCAGTCCCTTGCGCTGCACTCATAGATGTGCTGTGGTTGTTCCCCACCACCTCTGCTCCTGTCCCTCAAGAAGGAGACAGCTGATGGCTGGAGGCTCGTGCTGGCCAGCACAGAGGTAGAGGGAGCCTGCTTAAGTTGTTCCCTGTTGGACATATTTGTTCCTTTTATCTCATTGCAGCCCTAACACTGGGGGCAGTCGCGAAAACTTGGACAATGAGACAGAGACAGACTCGGTGGTGTCGTCGCAAAGGGAACGACCTCGTCGGAAAGATGGGCCTGAGCATGGTGAGTGTTGGTAACATGGCAAGAGCTCTGCATGGCACGGTGGGGGCACCAGTTCCAGACATGGAGCAGCTCTCTGTTCTGCAGAACCTTCCCAGCTTCGAAGGGCTGTTCAGTGATCTGAGGCCATAGCCTCACACTGGAGGCAGGAGCTAACGCCTGTGTTGCATCAGAGCTTGATGTTGAAATCTTTGGGGGCAAAGGAGATGTCTCCTGTAGAAGCCTCAAGAGCAGGAGACAGCAGTGCCTCAGTCCTTCTTAGTTGAAAAGCAGAGTGTGCTGTAGCCTTGCCACTCCGGGCCGTTCCTTGCTCTGCCAAGGAACCAGCTGCAAGTCCTCCACGACTTCAGTCGTGGAAGTGGCCCATCAGCCTCTTCCCCATTCTGTAGTGATAGAAGAGGTATCGCACAGAAGATAGATCTGATCCCAGGGTGGACTCAGAGCTGGCTGGCACTAGATGGGATTGTCTGATGGCCAGTTTCATTCTGGGAAGGTTGCTGTGAGCCCTGCGGGAAGGAGAGGGGTTGTTTCCCTGTGGCCTGTCTCAAGCACACTGAGTCTTGTCTTTTCATAGCACCCAGGGTGAATGGGACAGTGAAGGGAGAGCGGCGCCGAGACCTGGGCGGGTACGAGAGCTCCTCCACGCTCATGAGCAGTGAGCTGGAGACCACCAGCTTCTTCGATTCAGATGAAGATGACTCCACCAGCAGGTAGGAGAGCTTAGGTCCTGGAGGAACACTAGCTTCCCCCTGCCTCCGAGCACAGAGAGATGCCTTTGCAATGCACAGTTATCCTGGGCTCCAGAGTCCTCACTCAGACCTGCCTCTGTCTCAAGTCTCACCCAGCAGCCCTCTCTACTATTGTCTGTCCCCCACATACATGTTCTGCCTCTCTGCCCCTGCAATCCTCTATTCCCTGTGCCATTTCTGTGGCTCTCTTGCTGCCAGAGCCACCACCCTCGCAGCAGAAGAGCCGACTCTCGCTTTTGCCTCTAGGTTTAGCAGTTCAACAGAGCAAAGCAGTGCTTCCCGTCTAATGAGGAGGCACAAGCGACGCCGGCGGAAACAGAAGGCTCCACGCATTGAGCGGGTACTCGGGGCTGGGTATTCTGGGGAGGGCAGTGCAGGGCAAGGTGGGCTGCCTGGTGGATCTCTCCACTCAGTGCTCCAGGGCTGATCAGGGATTCAGCTGTGTTTGCTGTGGGCATAGCTGGGGACAGGTGGTGTCCAAGTGCTGAGACTTCATAAAGTGCTGTAAACCTTTCCCAAGCCAATGTAGCCTCAAGAACTGGGACCACAGACCTTGTCCTGGCTGTGGAGAGGTTATAAGGACTGTGGCTGATGCCCTCTGGCCCTGCAAAGCTCCCAGCATAAGGCTGGAGTTGTGGGTGGTGGCTGTGGTGCCACAGGGAATGGCAGGGAGCACAAGTGGAGGGAGCTGGGGCTGGGAATGTTGCTGAGGCACAGGAGGACATCTCATGTTTCACTTGCGTTGCAGTCATCGTCCTTCAGCAGCATCACAGACTCCACCATGTCCCTGAACATCATCACGGTCACGCTGAACATGGGTGAGTGGGAGGTGTGCATGGAGCCTGCAGTCCTTCCAGAGTGAGACTGGGTGGCGGAGAGGGAACTGGGGAGGGGGCAAAGAGAACACATGCAGGGAGGAGTGAGGAGATGGATTCTGTAGGAAAGTGGCTTGTCTTGAAGCACTGGTCTCTCAAGAGTTTCTCTGCGTCCCAGGACATCTCTCTGGGACAGGGGTGCAAGCAACCATCGTTAGCACGTGGTTTGTCTGAGGTTAGGGCTACTTGTGCCTGCTGCTTTACGGTGTCTTACTTCTTTCTCTTTCCATCCCTGCAGAGAAATACAACTTCCTAGGCATTTCTATTGTTGGACAGAGCAATGAGCGTGGGGATGGAGGCATTTACATTGGCTCTATCATGAAGGGTGGCGCTGTGGCAGCTGATGGCAGGATTGAGCCAGGAGACATGCTCTTGCAGGTACTACACGCCCACATACCTCCATGTTTGGGCCTGGGAAAGCAGTAAGAAAAGACCCAGAAGCCTCCCTGCACACTTTGGCAGGCTAAACCCAGGAAGCTGTGCTTGGAAGAGGGAAGCTGAGTCACTGCTGCACTGAGCGGGGAGCTCGGCCTCTGGTCACATCTCTGGGACTCACCTCTTTGTGTTGTTTGCAGGTAAATGACATCAACTTTGAGAACATGAGCAACGATGATGCTGTGCGGGTGCTGAGGGAGATTGTGCACAAGCCGGGGTAAGTACTCGGGTTGTTCCTTACCTCCGTGGGCAGCTGTACAGTGTGTGCTTGGGGCGTGTAAGCCGTGTCTTCCAGCCACCTCTGCCAGTGGCTCTGCCAGTGGCTCTGCAGAAGCTCAGAACTTAGGTTTTTGGTGTTGCTTTGATTCATGGGTTTTCGTGCCCAAAGCAAGAATTGCAGCCAACAGAATGGTGGCTGTGTGCCTTTTTTGTGCGGATGCCGTGTCATTAGGGTCATCAGCAACACTCAACAGGGTCACATCATTTTGTCCATGCCACTAAGGAAATCCATAGCTGGAGGGGGACAAGGGCATTTTACTGGCAGCTTCTCCCTGTCTCACAGGAGAGAGCCAGCATACAGTATCCGCCCACCACGCAGGGGTTTGTGCCACTGGGCTCTTGTTCTAACTCTTGCCTTTTTGTTGCAGGCCCATTACCCTGACGGTGGCCAAGTGCTGGGACCCCAGCCCCCGGGGCTGCTTCTCGTTACCCAGGAGTAAGTGGATAGCTGACCCACCCTTAACGCTGGTGCCCAGCTCATGTGAGAGCCCTGCCTTAAGCACTTACTTGGTTGTTGTCTTGTTCCTCCCCTGTGTGTGTGACTCCATGTGGCACTGAATTGGGGTTTGATGGGGTTTCAGCTCTCCTGTTAGGAGGCTGCTATGTCCTATTCCCAGGCCAAAATGCCCATAAGCCCAGCCCTCCTTCCCACATCACGCTGGGGACGCGTTTCACTGGGGCAGGGGGGTCACTTGCTCGGGGCGCCAGAGGAAAGAGAAACCCCCCCTTGAGCCATAGGGGGATCTCTCCCTCTGCACCTCTCCTGCTGACCCTTCCTCTCTTCTTTCTCTCCCAGTTGCTCCCCAGCGGATCTGGGCTGGGCCAGACTCTCCATGCTCCGATCCGGGTGAGTCCCGGCAGATGCTGGGGATGGAATGGGCTGCTTTGAGTCCCTGTCCCTCCCCAGAGGTTGATTTGATGAGGGGATAATTTCTTATAGCTACTGACTGACTCTTTCTTCACTGCAGGTGAGCCCATCCGGCCCATTGACCCGGCAGCCTGGGTGTCTCACACGGCAGCGATGACTGGCACCTACCCAGCGTACGGTATGAGTCCATCCATGAGCACAATCACTTCCACCAGCTCCTCCATCACCAGCTCCATCCCAGAGACCGAACGTAAGTCCTTGTGCCTCCGTGCTCCACCCGCTGCACGGCTTCCTCACCTTCACTGTGCTGCAAAGGGAGCAATACATCTGCCTGGGGACAGCTGGGATGGGCAAGGTCTGCCCTGCCAGGGGACTAAGAGGGAGGCAGCTCTCACCAGGCAGGTGCTTGGATCAGTGGGAGTTATGGCTGGGTGAATTAATACCACCTTTTCCAGCCTTCTACATAAGGAGAGTAGAAGAGCCTGGGTGCAATCCAGGAGCTGTGGCAGGCGCAGAGGAAAGGCTCAGAGCAGTCAGGGGTTACTGGCTGAGAGTGCCAGACCAGAGGGAGTCAGCTTGTCCCTGGAGCAATTGCCCTGCCAGACAGCAGATAGGGCAGGGTGGAGGCAGCTGGGAGCAAAGAGCCTTGCAGTGGGGCAGGGTCCTGCTTGAGCACAGGGCTCTTTTGGTTGCCTTCTGAAGGTTTTGGGTGATTCTAGTATACAGAGCCCTGAAGCAAGGGTCTAGAGAGCCGGGGCAAAAAGCCAGGAGTTTGTTGTAGGTTTGTGAGGAGCAGAGAATTCCCTTGCTGGGCTGTGTGGGCTCAGTTGGCAGCTTTTGGATCTCAGCTGCTTGGGACTGGTTGGAAGGAAGGAGACTCTAGCCTAGGTTTTGCACAAGGTGAAATGGCTGACATGGGAAGGATAACATTGGAAGGCTGGAAGGGGGGTTAACACAGCATGCGCCCCAAGACTGTCTGCGATGTATTGTTCCCTGGCCCATTCCTCCTGTGTGTGATGCTTCCATGTAGCCCTGTTGTCTTTTCTGTCCCCTCTCATCTCTGCCTCCCTTCCCTTCGTCCACACCACAGGCCTCGATGACTTTCACCTGTCCATCCACAGCGACATGGCCACCATTGTCAAAGCCATGGCCTCACCAGAGTCAGGCCTGGAGGTGCGTGACCGCATGTGGCTGAAGATCACCATCCCCAATGCCTTCATTGGTAAGAGACTGTGCTGCCTGCAGCAGAGGCAGGGAGTGGGGAGTGGGTGGCCTGTTTTCCAAGCAGATGCCCAAGGGAGCATCTCTGTCACCGTAAACTGTTGACCAGGCCAAGTTCACAAATTGAACCTTTGGCTGTGCAGTCCCTTTTCACCTTTTGGCCCACTTTGTCTTGGCTCCAGTGTGGCCCACTGCCTCAAGGGCCACTGTCTTCCCCTCTGTTGCTGTATGTAACTCTGATGTTTGGTGGCAGGTTCGGATGTGGTGGATTGGCTCTATCACCATGTGGAGGGCTTTACAGACCGTCGTGAATCCCGCAAATATGCCAGCAATCTGCTGAAGGCTGGCTACATCCGACACACCGTGAACAAGATCACCTTCTCGGAGCAATGCTATTACATCTTTGGGGACCTCTGTGGAAGTATGGCGCTTGGCGTGGGTGGGAGGGAGAGGATGGAGGGGGGTTGAGGTCCCGCAGAGCCCTGCTAACACCGTAGGGACATAGCTACCACCATTGCCATCAGGCTGGGCCCCTTGTTCTAAAGACCCTGTTAGAGAGTGAGGAAGAATATCCCAGCTCCCTTGTCATGCTGCTGGGGTGGTGAAGTTGGAAGATGACACTGTCACCTACTATGTGATCTCTTCTCCTGGGCAGCCATAGCAGAGTCTTAGTCTTTACTGACTTTGTCTCCAGGCTCTGAACTTCTAGTGCTGGCAAGGGGGTGGTGCTCAGACAACTGGGTTCTACTCAAATAAGAGGGATGGGGGAAGTAATTGGCAGGGTGAGCTGTAGCTCTGATGTGGTCTTTTCCCACCAAGCCGGTCTCTGTATTAGAGTGACAGCTTGGACTTGCACAGCCTGGCTGTCGTCCAGCTAGGAAGCACAAATGGTTGCATTGACTAGCAGGGCGAGTGCCAACTTCTTGCATCTCCTTGTGTACCCCATCCTTGTCCATCAGCAAGAGTGGGCAGGGATCTTCTTCATCACACGTGGTTGTCTTTCCACTTGGATTAACCCCTCTTCTCTGCTTTTTTGCAGACATGCATAATCTTTCTCTTCACGATCACGATGGCTCCAGCGGTGCCTCCGATCAGGACACTTTGGCTCCACTCCCCCACCCAGGAGCCGCACCCTGGCCTATGGCTTTTCCGTATCAGTATCCACCACCTCATCCATACAACCCCCACCCCGGCTTCCCTGACCCAGGCTACAGCTACGGAGGGGGCAGTGCAGGCAGCCAGCACAGTGAAGGTGAGTGAAAAGGACTAAAATATGCCTGCAGGTGGGCAGATGCCCTGTTCAGTACAGGGAAGCAGCAGGAAAAGGCTGCTTAGGCAAGGCCCTATGTGTGGGGGGAGCCAGGGCAAAAGCCATCTCAGAAGGGTTGTGGGACTCAGAGTTGAAAGGAGACTGAGAGCACGGACTGTGCTGGCGGATGGCTGTGCTGCAGCGTGCTGTAGTCCTCTCTTGGCTAGAGGAGCATCCTTTCTTCCTGGCTTGTCTGAGCTGTCACCTAACCTTGCCTCGTGCGCTTCGCAGGGAGCCGGAGCAGCGGTTCCAATCGCAGCGGCAGCGAGAGGAGGAAGGAGAGAGAGAAGACCGGGGAGTCCAAGTCGGGTGGCAGCGGGAGCGAGTCGGACCACACCACGAGGAGCAGCATGCGGCGTGAGCGCGCGGCCAGTGAGCGCTCGGTGCCAGCCAGCCAGCACAGCCAGCGTAGCCAGCACTCTCTGGCTCACAGCATCCGCAGCCACCACAGCCAGCAGTCGTATGGGCCGCCCGGCCTCCCCCCTCTCTTCAGCCCCCCCATGTTGCTGATGCCTCCACCGCCTTCAGCCATGGGGCCCCCCGGGGCGCCGCCGGGCCGTGACCTGGCCTCTGTGCCCCCTGAACTGACAGCCAGTAGACAGTCCTTCCGAATGGCCATGGGCAACCCCAGTGAGTTCTTTGTGGATGTAATGTGAAGCGCCCGTCCCCTGTCTGTCTGCTGCTCCTCCTTTCCCCCCTCCATCCCCGTTGTTTGTCTCCTAGGACCAGCCCTGGCTTCACCCCTTGTTTTTTGAGTTTTGTTTTTTGGGTTTTTTTTTTTTGTTTGTTTTGGTTGTTTTTTTTTGTCTTGATAACGAAAAGAAAAAAGGGAAAAAAAATAATAAATGGAACTAAACCTTGATTCTAATCCCTCCTCGAGCGGGGTGGACGGGCCTGGCAGGCCTGCTGGGTGCTGCCAGCCCATCCCGCCACCAGACTTGTGTATTGCCGATGGTAATTCCCTCCTGCCGTCCTCTCTAACCCCATTAATCCGCATCCGTCCCAGCACCCTGTGCTGCTTGCCCGTGTGTCGCTGCTGCCTCGGTCCTTCCACCCTAAACATCTCTTCTTTCTTTTCACCCTTTTGTGTTTCTTCTATCAAGCAGCAAAGAATTACGGGGTGTTTGACTTTCTCTGAGCCTGCCGCCCGTGGGGGGGAGAGCTGGAGCATGGCGTGGCCCGACAGGAGGACACGGAGCTCCAAGGGCGCTGGGCACACGTGGCGCTGAAGATGGCTTCTTTCCTCCCCCTTGCGGAAGACGCCCTGCCCTTCCTGCAGCCCTGAGAGGGGAGCAGGGACCAGCCTTATATATGCGTTTTAAATCCCGTTGTAGTTGCCTTTTGGCTAATGCATGAATGTTCCAGGGCTTCAGTGCCTCGGGGGAGTGGAGAGATGCTGCCACTTCCCTCTTGCCTCCCTCCTCTTGTCCACATATTGGGCCAGGTCCGAGCCTGGCACTGCCCCATGGTAGGACCCTCCTTCACCTTGCCTGGGCTGCGAGTCTTGGGGCTGGGGCTGTACCTCTGCATTCAGCCCGAAGCGGCGGTGGGTGCCTGCACAGAGTCTTGCACGACTCAGGGCCCTGCACTGCCCTTAGGTACTTGGAGGGATTTAAGGGCAGAGTTCTGTTCCCTCTGTCCTGCTTTTTGCCCTCCTGCCTGCGACACACTGCTGCCTGTCCCGTTTGTAGGGGCTGTCCCATGCCTGGGGCTGGCGGTGGCAGCTGTGGCCTTCTCCCTCCTGCTGTTGTGCTGCTGCTCAGCAATGTGACATCTTCAAGGGCCTGGACGGAGTTAGAAGGCGAGGGAGGGGCACAACTGGTTTGCTTTCACGCTTTAGGGAAACATGGAGGTCCCCTGTATTTGCCCTATGAAGGGCCCAAGTCTGCCTTCCCCTCTGCCCAGCGCCACGAGTGCTGCTGGCCTGGCAGCCGGGAGGGATGAGGCTCTGGGACGGAGCTGGGATGGCCCCGCTCCCTCCGGGCTGTGAACGGTGCCTGGCGGCAACACGAACTCTCCGGGAAGGGAGGCTGCAGCCTGAACCGTGGCCTCTGAGCTCGGCGCTGCAGATATGTCAGGACAGTTGAGTCTGTTTGCTCTGGCGCTCCCTGCCCTTTTTCCTTCCTCTTCTGGGTACTGAGAGATGAGCCTCGGGCTGGGGGCGGCCCCCTTTCCCGTGCCCAGGGCCAAGCACGGTACAGTACAGACACGCTCGACCCTGCTCCTGTTGGTGCTGGTGCCCCGGCACCCTTTCCTACTGCCGCGCCGTGGCTTTCTCTGCAAGCGTTGCCTCCTTTTGTCTTTCTTGTTTGCAGTGTTTATACCCTGGAGATGAAATGTATTTTGCTCCTCGGGGGGTCTGCGTTGCCCCTGCAACCCCTCTGCCAGCTCTCACGTGCCATCAGTTCATCTCCCCGTGACTCCCTAAAGCCTCCCCTTTCCCTCTGCCTGCCGGAGGCTGCCTGCCCGGTGCCCGCTCTGCCATCCTCCCGTCCCCCGATCTCGGCACCAGCAAGCTGCCG